GGGAGGGGGTGAATAGGGTATATGCTAATCTAATCAAATATTAATGCCAATTAAAACTTAGTAACTAATTATCCTAGCAAATATGATATTCAAGAAGATTATATGTAAGGATATTAATCTAAGGGCGAAATAAACATGAGCAATGGTGAAATAGAATGAAATAAATAATGAGCACAAATATAACGCCAAGGAAAACTCAAACACATAATATGATCACAGAGTTCGGTCCTTCCAATCTACGTCTCCGCTTTCCACTCTCGGGGAGAATTTCACTATCACAATGGGTTTTTGACGTTCACCCAAAAATATTTACACCTCATAATTCGGTTTTTTACACTCACCGACAAATTTTTACAATTCACACTTATTAACTACACAAATACCAGCTCAAGTGTTGGCCCCTCACGTGTCACCTTCCTCAAGTGTTCAGAATTACCATATCTCTCTAGGGTTTACCATCGACACCACTCCTATTGGAACAAACCACGTCTCTCACCACACACTCCTCTTTGTGTACTTGCGTAATACGAAGTGATCTCACAAATAAAGCTCAATTACAAATAGTTTGTTCTCTAAACAAGGATGAGAACTCAATTAAGCTCACTCTCAAAGTTACAATCCCACAATCCAAATGTATACAATATGTGATAATACTAAAAGCTCAAGGGGTGTGTGTGTGTAAACAATGAGAAATAATCAAAACTAAACTCAATTATAAAATCTAGCTTAATAAAAATAATAATCAAATAAATATATAAATGTAAAGCTAGAATTGAGTTTAGAAAATCTTTTCTAGAAATCGAGACAGAGAGAGAGAGAGAGAGAGAGAGAGAGAGAGAGAGAGAGAGAGAGAGAGAGAGAGAGAGAGAGGAGAGAGAGAGAGAGAGAGAGAGAGAGATGAAGTTGAAGCCCAAACACCAAAGAGATGGTCTCCTCCTCTTGTGAAAACAACTTCACACAAAACACACTTGAAACAAAAACTTAAACCAAACTTTTAAACACCCTTAAATTTGTTTTTAAAACTCTCTTGGATAGATAAAAATAGTTATGGTAAATGGGTATATATAGGATAGAAGAAACCAGCTCAAGAAATCACCAAAAACACCCTAAAACATTAAAATAATCAAACAATGAAAACTAGTCGTTACTGTACAACGGCTAGTTCATAAGTCGACTTATAAGTCAACTTGTCTGATATAAGTCGACTTATAAGTCAACTTGTCTGATATAAGTCGACTTATAAGTCAACTTGTCTGATATAAGTCGACTTGTATGAGCTGCAAGTCGACTTAGCAGATGAAAACAACAAACTGCACAACAGATTATAAGTCGACTTATAAGTCAACTTATCATAAGTCGACTTGTTGGGTATATAAGTCGTCTCAGTAGATAAAAACTATAATTTTCAGAACAGTTCATAAGTCGACTAGCTACAGTACATAAGTCGACTTATAAACATGCACATACACTGTTCATGTATAAAATCTGATATTTGAAGTGCCTTAAAAAATAACAAATAAATTCTAAAAATGTAAAACTTTAAGAAATGATTACGAACATGAAAATGAATATGTTATAAAAAGAATTTTTCAAATTGCACGTCTCAATTGTGAAAACTCATCATTTTGCAAAATAAGCCAAAATATGAAATGTCAACACACACTTATTTTTGACATTTTGGCTTAAACAAAGTTTTGAAAACTCTTGAATGGATTTATAGACTAAGTAAAAGATATAAACTAGTGTTGTTTAGTCCATAAACCAATAACACAATATTTTCCCAAAAATGATGTTTTGCATAATATATGCATTTTTACAAAAACCAAAATGATAAATATGAAACGTATGAGTATGTATATGAATATATCTATTGTTTCATATTTATATAGCTAGACCAAAAACAAAACAATAAATATGAAATATGTAAGTATATAAACAAGTATATTTATTTCATATTTATATAAACTTGAAAACCAAAAATGTGTATGTGTGTATATGATTGTGTGTATATGATTGAGCTTGAAGTATCTACACACAAAGTATAAACCCTAAACTATAAAAACTATACCCAAGCAATCTTGATCTACAATGAAGCTCAACTCTATACCCAAGCAATCTTGATCTACAATGAAGCTCAACTTGGTTGCGGATGAAGCTTGATCTTGAATTAGACTTGAATGTGCAATGGTGATCTACAATGAAGCTCAACTTGGTTGCGGATGAAGCTTGATCTTGAATTAGACTTGAATGTGCAATGGTTTCACTCCACTATTTCCGCCAACCTCCATTTGATATGATCGTTATGGCGCAATCCATCTAACCTTCAATAGATGTTTGTGTAGATTTCCTAACAAAACAAATCACAAACACTCGACAACATTGTTAGAAATTATTTGTAAAATCATCAAAACAATATTAGGGAGTAGGCTCATAATCATGAGGCTAACAGAAACATTAAAAATGACTGAAATACATGGAAATATAGTAATTGTTAAATTTTGAAATGAATCACAATCATGTATTGGACGATGAACTACTATAATCAAAATTAAATAGCAGCTTCTTCAATGCTTTTTTACAGTGAACAAGATCGAAATTCTTTTAAAATAGATTTTCCACCATTTGTCTTCTTACTTTTATTAGAATTGGAATTTCTTTGAGTAGATTAATTAAATATATAAGAAGATGTCATTTCATATCCCTTCTTTATATATAATAATAAATTTGTGGCGCTACTAAAGGCACAAAACAATGACATCTAAGTGCAAAAATTAATATCAATTGTCATATATTATTTTGATATTAAATTAGAATTATTATATAATTAGGTTTCTTTTCTATCCATAATTAATCCTTATCAAATTAAATATACTAGAATTAGAAAGTTCTAATTATAGTCAAACATTTTGTAATCCTAATCAAATCATACTTATCCATAATTCAAAAAAAATTCTAATAATCACATTTTTAATTCTCTTCGCTTATACATAGAAATGGTGATTTGGTTTACAATTACCTTTATATTCAAAAATTTGCTGCATGACTCTCCTTAATTTTAAAGGATAAATTTCACTGCACCTCTAATAAATTTAATTTTTTGACACTAAGCATGCGATCTATTTAGAAGATGACTAAAACAATTTGAGTTTTTGCACTAAATTAGAGGCATTTCCCCATAATTTTACATTGGCAAACATTATTTTCCAAGGACACCATATACCCCTCAAATAATTATTATTTGCAAATTAACCTATAAAATTACATACAACTCAAGTAAAATACAAAACTATAAATAGCTTATAGCTCTCATAAAAAATGAAACAACAAACAGCAAACTAAAAAATCTAAAAATTATAAAACAAGCCTTTTAGATTCTAAAAATTACAAAAAACCCTTAAAATTTAAAACTTACAAGCCACCCCCTAGAATTTTAAAAATTATAGATAATCCCATGAAAACTCTAATAAATACAAATGTATCCCTTAAAAATAAAACATTCAATTAACCCTTTGAAAAATCTAAAATTACAAAAAGACGTCAAAAAGATCTAAAAATTGCAAGAAGACCCTAACAATTTTATAAATATAAAAATTACCCAAAAACTTCAATATTACAAATACCTCCCTACAGAAATTAAAAAGTACAATCAACCTTTTTTAAATCAAAAAATTAAAAACAACCTCGTGAAAGATTTGAAAATTGCATGTAGAACCATAAAAGTAGTAAACAACAACTATTAGGGTTTTCTATGAAAAGTTATTGAGTATTAAGTGACAAAACTTAAAATTTATTAGGTGTTTTATTCCAGAACTTATTGGTACTATTTTGATCATTTGACCCCACAAAGATGAGATTAGTGGTTAGTGAGAGTTTCAAAGATATTGACAGTTTAGTGTCAAATGCCTAAACTTATAAGGATAGATAAACATCATATATCTATTGGAGAAAACTATTTTTACAACATATCTGAGCTGTCAAATTAAGATGAGAACTAAAATCTTAAGTGGACATCATAATTAAATGAAAGAGATCATAAATAAAGAAAATCTGGATCTGTTATTCTGTTAATAGGAGGATAAATTGAACTACATAAAAGGGTAGTAGAGATGGAAAATGAAGTAGCTTAAATTCCCCTTTATATCTAAAAAAAATTGTGATTTACTATTAACATTACATCTAAAAGAACTACCATGTATCCCTTCCTAATTCGAATTTGAAAAATGGAATAAAAACTATCCCCACACACTTATTAAGTGAGGTAGTATTTTTTTGTTCTTTTTTTATAAAATATTTACAAAAAGAAATAGGAATATTATAAAGGAGGACTGGTGGTTAAATAATCTATTTTGAATTTTAAATTTTGATATAAAATTATTCACATTCTTATTTTATATTTTCTTTATAAGAAATAAATTTAGCTCAAGTTTTTTAAAGGAGTAGCATTCTAAAAAAAATTGAGATAATTCAAATTTTTAGAAGCAATAACATTAAAAAATCATATATAAAGAAAAATCAGATATACAAAATAAAAAAAACCAAAATAAGCCGTGTGAGCACGGACACAATGCTTATGTTAAATAATTGTCAATACCTAACCAAAATCCTTATCTATTCCTTTATACATATAGGAGGATCAGAGATTCACTGTTTATGCTACAGTAGCATTTACTATAGTATTATTACTGTAGCTAATAGTTAATTAAAAATATTGCTGTAGCAAACGAGCATACTGTAGCATCTAAAATATACTGTAGTAGAACGGGATACTTTAGCACTTTCAAAAATTCAAATCATGCCATATTAAAAAAACGGGATTACTGTAACAAAAAAAAATACCGTGCTTTGCGCGGACGGCAAACTAGTTCCCAAGAATGCCACAACCTCCTCACGACAATTCTTGGGGTGGCATTTCGGATATTAATTTAAAAAGGGAGGCTTTTTATGTACACTTGTCATCTATATATACCCCTGCCCGTTTCCATCCTGAAGGACCTAAACCAGTCATTTGAATCCTTTCTTAGTTCTAAACATTATCAAATTCTCTTCCCCACTGCATAATGCTGCTCCACTACCTTGCACCGTTCTTGCTACTCTGCGCCGTCGTTCAGGTGGCCGTAGCCTTCACCGATGGTAAGTTTCTTTGAGCAGTACTGATTATTTCAGAAGTGTACTCTTTTTCACTTGCTCCGTGATTCAAAGGAGATGAGTTTTTTGTGCCCCTTCTACATTTCTAGTATACGAAAACTCTGAAGTTATGATCGAGAAAACATTCTATTGTGTTCATGTAAGCTGAGCATGCTGTTTATAGGATGAAATTTAGATGTACATATCAGTATTTGTTTTTTGTTTGAATACGTTATGAATAAGAACCTTATAGATTTTGAGCCCGATTCGCTTACAAAGCACCCTAATTTTCTCTTTTCTCGAGGAGATTTCAAAGTTATGGTCAAAATTGAAATTCATGACTTCAAGTAAGATCCTAAGGATTAATGATACGAAGCACATTTTTCAAAAAAAAAATGATATGAAGCACATGGTCTTAGCTAGTTTGTTCATATTCACGTCCTTATGCATGCAAATTGCATGACCAGTAACCTATACTAGTAGAATAATAAATATTCTAGACGGAATATTCCAGACGAAAAATTTTCCGTCTAGGATACACTATTCTAGACGGAAAAATTCTAGATGGAAAATTTGTACGTCTACAATATAATATTCTAGACGGAAAATTATGAATTGTTCATACTTGTACGGGACGGTGCTCCTAGAAGTTAATTTGTATATCATGTTTCGTCATTTCATGTATCCTAGCTCTTTTGATAAACCAGATGATCTATAACGATGATTCCATTTAAGTACGTAATTAGTACTCCGTATCAATTTTCTTAGACTACTTCAAGTGCGTGTGTCCGAACTAATTTAATGATCATTAAAAAGATAGGAGATTCAGAGTCATGCAAACATGCACAGTGACAGAGTGAGGCTGTAAAGGGAAGAAGAAGTCAGTCCCACTTAATTTTTACCGAAAGGCTAGCTAGCTGGAACCATAAACCCAACTGAACCGAAGAGGACAGATCCCATGTTACTGATCACATGGCCTTTAGTCCTATCCAAAAATCTTCTGGGTTTTCTAAACAATAGCACAAAAAGTATGGGCATTCAATGAATCTCCCCGGCATCATAGCCGCCGCCTCCCCCAAAAAAAAATGCTTTGGAGGATTAATATGAGATGAACCTCCTAAACTTTCAAAATATCATAAATCCCATAAGTCCAGGGGTTATCAGAAAACCCCCTTTTCCCTTTAAGATTTTATAAAAAAAAAAAACCCTCTTAGCGTTAGTCGTTGTTTTCACATGATCGGGCAAAATTAGGTAGGGGGATAGAAAATTCATACAAGCTATTTACCCAATTTCATTGTTTATATTAATTACTCAATTTGATATTTTCGGGTTGCAACGGTATATGAACGGAGAGATGGACTCAAACAATTTATTTATTTGGATCCAACTCGAATCAAAAACTACTAACCATTATTAAGTCACGAGTCCGAATATATTTAGTCATATATCTATTTACGAAAATTTTCCATGTATCTAGCTAACTAAATTCACACATTGAACTAAATAGATGTCTGAGTCCACTAAACAAGAAGTAATTCTGTGACGACGCAGGTCTATTATCAAACGGGAACTTCGAGCTCGGCCCGAAACCCTCCGACCTAAAAGGCACGAGGGTAACCTCCAAGCACGCAATCCCCGCCTGGGAAGCCTCCGGCTTCGTCGAATACATCCCCTCTGGCCACAAGCAGGGCGACATGCTCCTCGTCGTCCCCGAGGGCGCCTTCGCCGTCCGCCTGGGCAACGGGGCCCGCATCAAGCAGAAGGTCGCCGTCCAAAAGGGACGGCACTCTCTCACGTTCAGCGCGGCGCGGACCTGCGCGCAGGACGAGAAGCTGAACGTGTCGGTGACGCCGGAGTCGGGGATACTGCCCATGCAGACCATGTATAGTAGCAACGGGTGGGATTCGTACGCGTGGGCGTTTAGGGCGGCGGTCGGAGAGGCGGAGGTTGCGATCCACAACGTTGGGAGGGAGGATGATCCGGCCTGTGGGCCGCTTATTGATTCGGTGGCGATGAAAGAGCTTACTCCGCCTAGGATTACTAACAGTAAGAATCTCTCACTTACAGGTTAATTTGCTTGATATTCGCTATTAATCTGGTCTATAGTTGTAAATAGAAGCACTTCGATCAAAGATTTCGAATTGTGTGACAAGATAATAAAGGTAAGATCTAATGCTAAATATTAAGCAATTAATGAAACTGTTGTTTTTCAATAGTTGTGAAAGCAGAGAAATCCAAATTCAGATTACCGGACATTCTTTTAAAATGAATTTTAGGGGGGGAGTTATATCCCGGCGTTAAAAAAGCTTAATTTTTTTTTTTCAATCGAATAAGAAACCTCAGCTCGCAAGATGAACATTTTAGGCATAAGACTATAATTGCAAACTCGATCTCATGCATCATGAGTTTAGAGTTCTAACTAAGAATTATCATGCATTATGTTTTCTAATTGCTGTTTCATTCATCTTAAACCAGAGAACCTCCTAAAGAACGGCGACTTTGAAGAAGGCCCCTACATAATCCCGAACACAACATGGGGAGTCCTAATCCCACCCCACATCGAGGACGACCACTCCCCTCTTCCCGGGTGGATGGTCGAGTCCCTCAAAGCCGTCAAATACATCAACTCCCCTCACTTCTCCATCCCCCGCGGCAACCGTGCAGTCGAGCTCGTCGGAGGCATGGAGAGCGCGATCTCCCAAATCGCACGAACAATCCCAGGCAAATCCTACGCCCTCACTTTCTCGGTCGGCGATGCCAGCAATGCGTGCGAGGGGTCGCTGGTGATCCAGGCTTTCGCCGGGAAAGAGAAGATGCACGTTCCGTATGACTCGAAGGGGAAGGGAGGGTCGAAGCGCGCTGTGTTGAGGTTTACTGCGATTTCGACTAGGACCAGGGTGGTGTTCTTGAGCACGTATTATAGTACGAGGAGTGATGATATGAGCTCGCTCTGTGGGCCGGTGCTCGATGATGTTGCGCTTATTAGCGTCAGGCGCTAAAATGTTTTTGGTTTGGTGTGGAGTTTTATGGGAGTTCGTTGTATTCTTTGTTCGTTGAAAGATGTTTAATGTAATTCTACTCTAATTTAGATTGCTAAGGTGTAATAGAGTTTTCGAGTATCACTATTAATCAAGATGGTTAGATTTTTTTTTTTTAGAGTAGAAGGTGGGTAAAGATAAACCCTCTGTTGTTTCATTAATAAGAATTTAAAGAAATAGAAGAAGACAAAAGTGTGTAGAAGCAAAACAAAATACAAGATAAAGAGACTAAATGAAAGGAAGACAAAAAAAAAAAAGAGTGCAAAAAAAGCAGGAGCCACAACACATAATACTCCTGTGATGCATTACAAAATAACAATAACAAAAAAAGGACAGATGAATGAGCTCAGAGTCCCTCCATGATGTTGTCATGCATCACACACCGCTCCTCAGTAGAAGAAGGTGCAACATCACTCCTGTAGGCCAAAGTGCGAAATAGCTGATCTACATGCTCCTTGTCACCTCCTGAAAGAAGAGACGACCAATGTGTACTGTTAGCAATTATTTGTTGATATATGTGAGAGTGAGGTCTTTGATTGTTATTAAATATTCTATTATTAC